CAATCATTTTAAAATTTTTATCATTTACTTATTATGCTTCATTAAGTACTTATACAAAATTTTATTAAAATAAAACCATTTAAACTGGGTGTTCGGATTTATATGTCACTTAGTATATTTGAATATTCACTTTACCCTGAAATGATCTTGAAGGGCCTAGCTAAGTCCGTTTTCAAGGTTACGTGTGCCTCCTCGAAAACATACAAGGTTTGCTTGAAACTTTTTTCTGTAATGAATAATTTTCGCAATATTTAAGTGAGAAATTAAAATGAGACACCCTGTATATCATGGAAGCAACAACAGTTATAGCCGTCTAACAAAGTCATCGCGTATTCCTTAAATTTTCTTTTTTACCAGTTACAGTGTCACCCTACCATGCTTAAGCTCGACTACCACAATCTGGCAACGTCGCATTGTTCTCAGAAGCATACAGAAAACATTCTTTCTGTAACGAGAAACAAGTTTGACATTTTATCTCTGTAAACAAAATGTCACTTTTCATGAAATTACTTTTTTCCCCGGCAAGAAAATGAGTACTTTTTTCCCGGATATTGAATTTTTGTGACGCTACTTTGGCTACTGCTACTAATTCCGGTGGAGTCAAAGAAAACTCGGAATCGGACATTTTTACTTTATATTTAGTATTAAAGATAACTTCTAAACAACCACTAAGTTCACAATTTTTAAGTCAAATCACAAAATTAATATGACAGCTATTTGATTACTTTAAAAGCAAGGCAATTCTAATTGTTGCTATAAGTACAACATAGCCTACTAATTTCAAAATTCAAATTTCACATCGATAATTTTCTGACTTAAATATTGTAATAATATAATTTTTCAATATTAAATCGTCGTTTTTCCCGCCACGGTAAAAATACTAGATTTTAGCTAATCTAGAATCTAGTACTTTTTTCCCTTGCATAATAAATAACTATTTCTCGATTTCCAAATTAGGGCTTCGACACCCTGTATCTTGATAAAGAACCATTATAGGTTCCAGATCTATGAGAAATTTTCTTGTTATTTTTGGCCTTCTCTCTACCCGAGAAATATGGTATGCTAATTTATCATGTTCCATTATTTTTTTATGAATCGTTATTCCAGATTTCCAACTATGCAAAAAAATTTACGAACATGTAAAAAAGGATTAAGTGCTTCCAAAGATCCAAATTCTATAGAATCCGTACAAGGTACCATCTGCAATTGAAATAATTGCTGAGAATCGACCGTTTTCAAACTACAAAATGACAGTTACAATAAATCTATATTCAGATCAAAGATGTTTATCCACAACAATGAGTGTCATTACCGGACAGACCGACAACACAAAACCGATAGACCATTATAGCTTATCGTGATGTATAATGTTTATATCATGTAAGATTTGAAGAATCTAATAATTCGATTTCGGAATTCCGACTTACCAGCTCAAAAAATCGAAAACTGCATATTTCCGCCACCTATCGATAATAGACTCAAGCTCAGCTTATTTCTTTTCGCGCTGGCTGGATCAATACATACCAAGGATGGTTCATTCTGTTTACAAACTTCGCTGTACTCTCCGGCGTTAACAAAAGATGGAGCCTCCTAGCAACGCGTTAAGTCAGTTTTCAGACAGAACAAGGCGGCATCTGAAGTTACGACAAAAAATAAATATCCCTGCTGACGTTACATTCAATTATCACACAGGTCGACAAAAGTGAACCGACCTTTACCCAGAAACCAGAGGTTACTTTCCCGAAGGCTTTTTGACGTGCTGAACCCAAATCCATAGTGGAAATTTTTCAGTTGGCTCTAGTTTTAAAGATACCCTAACCTGAAAATACAAAAACCCTATTTCATGAGTATCCATTACGTTTTGACGTCTACTCAGGTGAACAGCTGATCGGGTGTAAATCTGGTAAAACTTAGAGCCGTATTCGGAGCTGTTGTTCACATATCTAGATACTAAAACAACGAATTTCGTCTCTGTCTACCTGGCGTTGACGGATCCGTCAGAATTATGTGACACTTGTCGATATGGGGAATTTTGAAATATAACTAGATAACTACTAGCTGTTATTTTACCGCGATGGATATCCGTGAAGAAGACAGTAGCATTGTTTGCCTATATTTCAGGTTACGTATGCATGATGGACTATTTTTTTTTAAAACCATAGACATCATCTTAAACGACATGCACCTTCACACGTTGCGGACACCATGTATACATGATGAAATATGTTCTAAATACCCTCTAATGCAGGAGAAACACACAGTTGACGAAAAGCTCCAGGCAACTGTTAATATTTTCACGATATGTCAATACGTTGCAGTAGTTTTTACATACAGTGGACCCCCGATAATCCGGCCTCTGTCTAATCCGGCGCCCCGTGTAATCCGACATCCGTGTCAACTACTGACTGCGGGCCAGGCAAGAGACAGATACTCAAGAAAGCTGAACATCCAGAAGTGGAAGAAGTTTTGTACATGTGGTTTCTTCAGGAAATAAATAGGCATGCACCAATTCAAGGACCCATGTTGGCCATGAAAGCTAAGTCTTTTTATAAGGAAATAACAAAACAAGATGATTTTGTGGCCAGCAAAGGATGCCTAGAACGTTTTAAAAGTCGTCATGGCATACGTTTAATGACTATTACAGGAGATAAACTTTCTAACGATGCCACCTGCATAGAGCCCTTTAATTTAAGAGTTTTGCACAAGGTGAACGATTTAAATCTTGACCCGTAACAGGTGTACAATGCAGACGAATCACACGCGCTTAAGATGATGGTCATTGGGAAATCTAATAAACCACGGGCATTCAAAAACATTGATTTACCTGTACACTATTACGGACAAAAAAGTACATGGATGACAATAGACCTTTTCAAAAAGTGGTTTGACGAATGCTTCGTACCTGAAATTATAAAATGGTCAAAAGATCATAATTTTCCTCAAAAGGCGTTGTTGCTTCTTGATAACGCTCCCTGTCATCCGTTTGAAGAAGAACTAACAACTGAGGATAAATGCATCACTGCGATATTTCCTCCGCCAAATTGCACTGCACTGATTCAACGAATGGACCGGAATATCATTCAGTTTGTCAAGCAAGACTATAAGAAAAACCCAATTCTGAGAACCGTATCAAAATACCAACCAATAGAAAAAACTTTAAAACAATTTAATATGAAAGACTTTGCTCTTTGTCAGTCGTGGAATGCGTTACCGTCATCAACTATTAAATCGTCTTGGAAAAAGTTATGGCCAGATATAGTCACCACTCCTAGCAACGTTCCACAAATCAGTGTTACTTCGGAAGTTATAGAACAAGTCGCTACTGAAACACAGATAAGTCCGGAAGATTTGGAAATCTGGTGCCGTGGACTGGATAAAGAGGAAAATGTTTTTCATGAAATTTCTGGCGAAGGGATTATAAAAGAGGTTTCTAGTTATACAACAAACAATCAGGAAAATAACGACGAGGTGATTGCAACTGCTCCATAAGTCACAGTACAAGACGCAATTAACGCCTTTGAGCTAGGTTTACAATGGACTGAAGAGAATGGTACATCCTACTACGAACTTTTACTTTTGAGGGACAAAGCTCTGATCTCGCGTTGTAACAACCTTAAACACAAAAAAATGATGAATATTTCCAAACTTCATAATTTGATAAATTCATTAATGATTTTGATTAATAATTCTTGATTATTTTGGTACATATGTATGTGTATTTATGCTTAATTTTATAATAAAACGTAAGCTCTTTATTGTTATTTAATTTAATAAATTCGACATACATAAACTATGTATGATTTGTACTCCAAAGTACATACATATGCATAACATATATAATCTTATCATTGGATATCTAATTTGTCGGATTACAAGGTACTCTTTTGTAAAAAATTCCGGACTATACGGGGTCCTACAATGCCCTGCATAATGTTTGTCGGATTACCGGAGGTCCACAGCATTTATAATGTATATATAAGAGCCGCAGTTTTAATTACTATGATTGCTGTGTTAAATCGATAACAAAATAATAACACATGACGTTAACGTAAAACATACAACTTACAAAGTATACTTTTTTTGTTAGATTATTTAAAACGGGGCGAGTCCAGTTTTCCATCAGACCTTGAAAAATCACCAATATGCCAAATGTTGTTTTATTCTCGGCGAGCTGGTTTGTTCCAATAAGCAGTTCCGAACCAGTTCAGGGCTAATTTCTGATGATTTTTCTGCGTATGGCCGTTGTAAGAACAGGTTAGATCTAGTTCTGTTGTCGTAAAGATAATCTTAATAGGCGTAAAATTGAAATTTAATATATAAATATAATTAATTATATTATATCTTTTTCGGCGTAATCTAAATCTTTATAAAAAAAATAAGATTGGTAGCCTGGTGAGATACTTTGAAGAAATAGCCTGCAAGTTAATCTTGTTTAGAGCTAAAAAAAATCATCATTAATGGGGAGCTTGCAAAGCTACGGTAGCAGAGGCGGAAATTAAGTGGGATCTTGACAACGCTAAGCAACTAGATGACTTGAAACGAATTTATGAGATTAATATTACTTTCACATTATTGGAACAAATTAGTTAAAACACTTGACTGTGTAGTTATGAATTCTGATTCTTGGGACTCTTATAATCAGCTCAAAATCATTTTTTGAACACGCCTAATAAACAGTACAAAAAGCGGTTAAAGATTCAGATCTCAGATATGGGAAGATTAAAAGGGCAAGGAATGGCATCAAGTACGTTGACTCTAGACTTCCACACACGTCGACATTAGTTTATAAGCGATTATGTTCAACACAATGGAAATAAGACAGTGCCACCGACCTTATCAGTACAAATATGTGGTTGCCAGTTACGGATTCAGTTTTATATTAATTACCTGTTGGAACGGTTATTTTTATCTACGCATACCCTGTACACTTCAGAACTAATCCTATGATTTGTTGGAACAAAGCTGTTATATGCCTCCAATCAATACGGTAACCATAGCAACAACAATAAATACAAACATACTGTCCAGAGCCTACTTTGGCGACACATTAGCATTAACGTGTCATGTTTATAGTATCAGTATCCGTCGCATGGAGAAATGGTTCAGCGGAAATAAACTGTGGTTATTCGGAAGTCAGGTGCAGTTGCTTCCGAAAAGGTAAGCTCTTATCTCTAAGCTGCAGTTTAACCACCACCTGTTTGAGTACGAGTCTCTTTATCGTCGATTTATTATGCGGTTTTTATCTGTTGTTTCATTCACGCCCATTGTTTCAATTGTATTCAAGCAGATGTTAGCAAAGTTATAAATCTTACATCAAAGGCTAACTCAATTTAATTATACAGGGTGTTTCAGTTTATTGTTGCATAACTTTAAGATTCGATAGAACTTTTAAAATTAATGCATAAAGTCTATATAAACATGGGTCGAAAAATGTGTGGCTTCCGAAATACAGGGTGTTTAAATTTACTTTCTAAAATATTTTTTTTTAAATATTTCAAACAATATTTGATGTATAACAGTGAAAATTGGTGCACAAGAGTTTTTTGGTACGACAAAACGAACCATGGGCATAGTTTTACTGTAGCCGCTAGAGGGCGCTCTCTACTGTACCTGTAGTGTATTAAAATGACCGAAAAATTTTCTTAGTGCAATTTTTTGCTTTTTGAATAAAAAAAAACTGATTCTTTGCACTTTTCAACATAAAAAAGCTCTAATGTAAATTTTCGTTACAGTTAGCCGTTTTTGAGACATTTCGATTTTAAAGGTTAATTATTTATGGGAAAATAATATTTTTTTACATTTTCGATTTTCGCATTACAAGTAATTAAGATGATCGTTTAGATTGTGTTTTTAAACACAGCAATAATTCCTAACTCCAAATAAACACAAAAAACAGAATATTAATTTGTTTAATTTTCCATTATTATTTTTAACAAATTAAATTAATTATTTACAACTAAAATGCTATTGGATAGTAGTTGCTCGAAATGTAAACCCAATTGTTCAATACACAATTCTCATCTACGAATGATCGAACGTGGTATAGCATTATTCAAATAAGGCCATAAGGCCTTATTTCATCACATGCATTCCTGATTCTGTCTATTAGCATATCTCTTGTGGTTACGGGAGTCTGGTACACTTTTTCTTTTAGAAATCTCCACACAAAGAAATCTAATGGATTTAGGTCAGGGGATCGTGGAGGCCAGGCGACTGGTCCTCCACGGCCGATCCATCTTTCTGGATAATTTTCGTCCAGCCAGTTTCTAACTATTCTCGAATAATGAGCTGGACAACCATCAAGCTGGAACCAGGCAAATTTTCTTAAATCTAACATAACATTATCCCACATACTTACATGTTTAGCCTTTAAAAATTCCAAGAAGGTCGAAGCATGTAACCTTGCAGGCAAAAGGTAGGATCCAAATAGTCGATTACGGTAGATACCAATCCACACGTTCACACTAAATTCATGCTGAAAATTTCTATCCCGAATTGCATGCGGATTTTCATGCGACCAAATATGTTGATTATGAAAATTTATCACTCCACGTCTAGTGAAGCATGACTCATCGGTCCATAAAACGTTACTTAAAAACTCCCTATTATTATCAGTTCTATCAAGAATCCACTGACAAAATGTGATTCTTCGTTCTCCGTCCCCTGGCTGTAGTCCTTGCACAGGTTGCAAATGGTAAGGACGTCTATGGTCATTTTTAAGAACACGGTGAACATGGCTTGCTGAAATTCCCAAGGCACCAGAAACTCACCTAACACTTGTGGTCGGATCTCTATCAAACTCACGCAGAATCATACGGGTAAATCTGCGCTAACGAACATTTATGTTTTGATCACTTTGGAGATTTCCAAAACCATTTTCAATTATTTGGCGATGCACTCTTACAAATACTGAGCGAGTTGGATGTCGTCTGTTTGGAAATCTTCGTGCGTATTCTCTGGCTGCTTCTGCTGCGTTTCCATTTACAAAGCCATACACAAAATGAATATCCGCTAACTTTTGATTGGAGAATAAAAATGGCATTTTTATAAAACTTACAAAAAAAACAGGTAAAAGAAACTAAATTTCGTGCATTCACAATTTATTTTATCATAAATAATTAAAAATGCATCGAATCTTAAAAATCGAAATATCTCAAAAACGGCTAACTATAACGAAAATTCACAAGAGAGCTTTTTTATGTTGAAAAGTGCGACGAATCAGTTTTTTTTTTTCAAAAAGTAAAAAATTGGACTAAGAAAAATTTTTCGGTCATTTTAATACACTACAAGTACAGTAGAGAGCGCCCTCTAGCGGCTACAGTAAAACTATGCCCATGGCTCGTTTTATCGTACCAAATAACCCTGGTATACCAATTTTCACTGTTATACATCAAATATTGTTCAAAATATTTAAAAAAACTATTTTAGAAAGTAAATTTCGGAAGCAACACATTTTTCGACCTATGTTTACTTTATGCACTAATTTTAATAGTTCTATCGAATCTTAAAGTTATGCAACAATAAACTGAAACACCCTGTATACAAGGTGTTTCCAATGCGTGGACAAAGAGTTTATCGGCTTAAAAAATCACTTTTTTGCAGAGATTTTCGGAAATAACTCTATGGAGTCACTTCTAATGGCGGTTTTCTACTAAGTGGGCAAAACAAAACACAAACTGTGTCAAATATAACAAATCTGCAAATTGACGTATTTTGCGAAAGTTGGAATATTTTTCGACGTTTTTTGAAAGTCGAGTCTGTTTGGTGGTAATGGTCGTTTTGCGTTTTCTATTTTCGTCTTGCTAGTCTGAATATGAGTTTTGTACCAAATTAGTAGATAAATCAGTAACGTATTATTTTTTCTAGATATGAAATGTGTTTGGAGACGCTGGATAAGTACATTAAGCTTTGAAAACTGTCCCCAGTGGCAAGGAACTTCATTGTTATCACTAATCGGTCTTTAACAAAAATTGAATCTCGAAGATTTGTGTTTAACTTTGCCGTCAAAAGATTTGTCAAGGAAGACAGTTTTTTTACCAAAAACTACTTCACCCTCGTCCCCCTAGAATGATTCCCTTAAAAATTTTTAAAGACAAGAGGTATCTAGTGATAGGTTGTTTGAAGGTTCTTTCGAAGTTCTTAATTGCGACGTTTGATTTTTTTAATAAGTGTTCAAAATGTTGTCCGATATCCAGGGCGAACTGTATTTATTGTTATACCTGTTTAGGTATTTGTTGTTAACTGACAGAAAGAATTCAATCTGCTGTCAGCTACCTTTGCGACAATCTTGGGATAGTGAAAATTAATTTATTGATTCAGATTTTACTTCCGAAATAGCTTACACACTAGCCGGAAGAGTGGTAATGATTCTAATTCATGGTGCCGAAAATCAATGTGCTCGGCAAACTACCCTCACGTTTAGCTTTTAAGAATTAGCGGACAGGCAGATAGTCAGATAGACAGAAATATTCAAAAAACACAATATCTCGTTTTCGAAATTTTTCGTCATTACAATAGATACTTCCTGCGCCAGGAACCGTTGGAAGTACAATATGTTTCTACTCAGAAAATTTTAAAGTTTTTTTTTACTAATCGTGGTTCTCATTTTTATTTTTTTATTTAAAAGGTTAGTTAAATTGTGACTGCTTCTTAGCTAGGATGAAATAAAATCTATTCAGCCGTTTTAGGTCGGGGGCTTTTAAAATCCTTAATTTATACTTGTTGACGAACAATCATTCATTTCATCAGGCCAAATATAGGCTATGTGGTTTTATATATCTATAATTTGATTTTGTTGTCCGAATAACTATATTTTGATTGATGTTGATTGCTTCTGTATTGATTTTGCCAAAGATGTCGTGATTTATACGACAATTATGAGCTGGGAGACCGCATACTGTTTGAAATAGTAGGTTTAGGTACCTAAATAGACTCTGTATACATACAATGCTAAAACTCGACAAAAGGTATTAGTGGCTTCATGTCAACGCGAATCGATTGAAATTGGTAACTGATATTTCAAAAATGGTGGATGCGTACGATGTGTTCTAATGAGGCGCGCTTGTTTAAGAATGAACATTCACCTTTTTCATCAATTCCTTATTACACTTTAGAACATGGTGAATGTGCACATCTTGTAAATTATTGTGGTCGTGAAATTATAGCCTGCGAATATCTAAAGTTAGACAATTTTGGCATAACAAACCAGGTTAAAAACCTCTTTCAAATATAATAATCTGGAAATACTCTTGAAAAGCAAGGTCTTAACCTCAATGCAGATACCTGGCGAGCTTAAAAATTATAATTTTCAACCCAGCTTTTTTATTGTTAGGCAAGATATAAATTATTTAAATAAATCACAATGGGCAATTTTTTTTAGATGTTTTGGATCATTCTGAACAAAAAAGGCTTTCAGTAACTTTTCTCTGAAGTTGGCTATTTTATAATTATAAGAGACTTAATGTCTGCAGAACCCTACAATCGGTATATTCAATGTTTGAAAATTTTGTTAAAAATCGTAATTTCTGTCGCCAAGCATCTAAATTAGATAAGAACGTGAAAATTATTTTGAGATTCGTTAGGATACCTAGATATTATAGCTGGTTACATTGAAGTTGATTGATTCTGTATTGATTTTGCCGAAGATATCGTGATCTATATAACAATTATAAGCTATTAGGTATTTGAAATAATAGGTTTAGGTACCTAAATAGACTCTATATACGCATCACGCAAAAACTTAACAATAGGATGTCGTGGCTTCATGTCAACTTGAATCTAAAGAAATTGGTAACTGATATTTCAAAAATGGTGGATGCGTACTATGTGTTCTAATGAGGCGCGCTTGTTTAAGAGTGCACATTCACCTTTTTTATCAATTCCTTATTACACTTTAGAACATGGCGAATGTGCACATCTTGTAAATTACTGTGGTCATGAAATTGTAACCTGCGAATATTTAAAGTTCGACAATTTTGGCATAACAAACCAGGTTAAAACCTCTTTCAAATATAACATTCTGGAAAAACTCTGAGAGGTCTTGAAAAGCAAGGTCTTAACCTCAATGGCGATACTTGGCGAGCTCAAAAATTATAATTTTCAACCCAGCTTTTTTAATGTTAGCCAAGATATAAATTATTTAAATAAATCACAATATATTTTGTCCTGGCAATTTTTTTTTAGATGTTTTGGATCATTCTGAACAAAAAAGGCTTTCAGTAACTTTTCTCTGAAGTTGGCTATTTTATAGTTATAAGAGACTTAATGTCTGCAGAACCCTACATATCAATATATTCAAAATTTTGTTAAAGATCGTAATTTCTGCCGCCAAGCATCTAAATTAGATAAGAATCCGAAAAGTATTTTGAGAGTCGTTAGGATGCCTAGATATTATAGCTGGTTACATTGAGTGGTATTGATTTTGCCGAAGATATCGTGATCTATATAACAATTATAAGCTGTTAGGTATTTGAAATAATAGGTTTAGGTACCAAAATAGACTCTATATATACTAAGTGACATATAAATCCGAACACCCAGTTTAAATGGTTTTATTTTAATAAAAGTTGGTGAATGTATCTTACTGTAAATAACAAGTGAACAAATTTTCAGCCTTATCAGTTGGACATTCCGATTTTTATACTACTTTTTTTTTAATTCACTAACGCTCTAAAAATGAATATTTCAGCCGCAGTAAAGAATCAACGTTGGCGGATTTTGGTTCTTGACATCCTTTACGATCGGTTACGATGCCTAGAGTACGGAGACCTGTACGATTTCGTCAACTTAGTGACTTTGATAGGGGCCGTATAGTGGGACTTCGGGAAGCTGGACTTTCTTTTCGGGCAATTGCAGTTAGAGTGCAAAGAAGTGTAGACACTGTGGTTAGGTGTTGTCAGGCATGGCTTCGAGAAGACCGTGAAGATCGCCGCCTAGGATTATTGGCCTTAAGGGACCGTTTCTCCACTACCAGGTCCATTGCAAATGAATGGTTTGCAGAACACGGAAGACCTATTGGCATGCGAAGTGTTTACCGACGAATGAGAAGTTTTGGCTTGTTTTCATACCGGCCACACTGGGTCCTCCCTTTAACTCGAGAACACCGACGTAATCGCCTTGAGTGGTGCAGACAACGGTCACTCTGGGATCAGGAATGGAACAGTATTGTCTTTAGTGACGAGTCTCGATTTTGTTTAGGCATGCACGATGGTCGTGCCAGGGTTAGAAGGCGACGTGGTAAAAGGAGGAATCCACAGTTTTTTGTTGAAAGACATGTTCATCCCACTGTTGGAGTTATGGTTTGGGGTGCTATAGCTTATGGTTCCAGGTCACCTTTAATCTTCATCAGAGGTAACTTGAACGCGCAGCGTTATATCCACGAAGTTCTAGAACCCCATGTTTACCCTATCTTGACAACCTGGCAGATCCAACTTTCCAACAAGATAATGCCCGACCACATGTAGTCACAATAGACTTCTTTCAATATAATGATGTCACATTGTTACCATGGCCACCAAGATCTCCCGACTTATCCCCAATTGAGCACGTGTGGGATATGATGGGTAGGAGATTGCTCAATTTGCAACGTCCTCCTCAGACTCTAGAAGCACTTCGAGAGGAGTTGGTGGTTGCCTGGAATGAGATACCACAGGAGGACATTGACCACCTGATCAGAAGCATGCCTAGGCGCATTGGAGAATGCGTAGCACATCAGGGTGCATCCACACATTATTAAAGGTCAAAGGGCTTTAAAGCAGTGCAACCATTTTGAAATTTTTATCATTTACTCATTATGCTTCATTAAGTACTTATACAAAATTTTATTAAAATAAAACCATTTAAACTGGGTGTTCGGATTTATATGTCACTTAGTATACGTATCACGCAAAAACTTAACAATAGGCTGTCGTGGCTTCATGTCAACTTGAATCTGAAGAAATTGGTAACTGATATTTCAAAAATGGTGGATGCATACGTTGTGTTCGAATGAGACGCGCTTATTTAAGAATGCAGATTCACCTTTTTATCAATTCCGTATTACACTTGTAAAACATGGCGAATGTGCACATTTTATAAAGAAGCGTAGAAACGCGAAATTAGCCTGCGAATATCTAAGGCTTGATAGTTTAGGCCTAACAAACAAAGTTAAGAACCTCTTTTAAATAAAATAATCTTGAAGTACTCTTAGAGGTATTGATGAGCAAGGTCTTAACCTCAATTTAGATACTTGGCGGCTTCGAAAACTATTAACCCAGCATTTTTAATGTTGAGCAAGATAAAATTTATTTAAATAAATTGAAATGTATTTTGAACGGACATTTTTTTTCGATGTTTTGGATCATTCTGAACAAAAAAGGCCTTCAGTAACTTTTCTCTGAAGTTTACTATTTTAAAGTTATAAGAGACTTAATGTCTGCAGAACCCTACATATCGGTATATTCAATGTTTGAAAATTTTGTAAAAAATCGTAATTTCTGACGCCCAGCATCTAAATTAGATAAGAACCCGAAAAGTATTTTGAGATTCGTTTATTTTAAAACGATTTTTAACCTTGTCTGTTTGGCCTAAATTTGCGAAATTTTAATTTTTCAAATTCTATTTAACATTTTTGTATCCTGTATTAGATTTGTAATGTTAGTCAAATAAAAGCTTAACCACTAAGGTATATTATATTGTTACATCATAACTGCATTAGGATGCCTAGATATTATTAATCTATTATGCAGAAAGGATACGTTAATATGGTGGTATGTTAGTAAAATGACAATGTTTTGTCCGTATTCTAAGAGTCGGACAACATCAAAGACATTGAAGTTGATTGCTTCTGTATTGATTTTGCGGAAGATATCGTGATTTATACGATAATTACTTTCTGAAGTGATAGGATTAAGTACCTAAATTGACCCTATATACGCATCACGCAAAAGATTAACAAAAGATGTTGTGGCTTCAGGTCAACTTGAATCTATGGAAATTGATAACTGATATTTAAAAAATGGTGGATGCATACGTTGTGTTCTAAATAGATGCGCTTGTTTATGAATGCACATTCACCTTTTTTATTAATTACGTATAGCACGTTTAAAACATGGTGAATGTGCACATTTTATAAAGACAAGTGGAAAAACCTGAAATTAGTAAATTACAGACATTGAATTTCTAAAGTTCGCCAATGTTGGCCTAACAAACAAATTTAAACATCTCTTTGAAATAAACTTATCTTGAAATACTCTCAGAGGTCTTGAAGTGCAACGTCTTAACCTTAATTTAAATACTTGGCGAGCTCAAAAATTACAATTTTTATATATATTTAATTGTAAGTTCTGTCGCCAAGTATCTAAATTATTTAAGACCCCGCAAAGTATTTTGAGATTCGCTTATATTAAAGAGATTGTTGTATATATATATATATATATATATATATATATATATATATCACGCAAAAACTTAATAGGCTGTCGTGGCTTCATGTCAACTTGAATCTATAGAAATTGGTAACTGGTATTTCAAAAAGGGTGGATGCGTTGTGTTCTAATGAGACGCGCTTGTTTAAGAATGCACATTCACCTTTTTTATCAATTCCGTATAACACTTTCAAAACATAGTGAATGTGCAGATTTTATAAAGAACCGTAGAAACGTGAAATTAGTAAATTACACCCTGCGAATATCTAAAGTTCGACTGTTTTGGCCTAACAAACAAGGTTAAACATCTCTTTGAAATAAACTAATTTTGAAATAAACTTATCTTGAAATACTCTCAGAGGTCTTGAAGAGCAAGGTCTTAAGCTTAATTAAATACTGTGAGCTCAAAAATTATAATTTTCAACCCAGCATGTTTAATCTTAGGCAAGATAAAATTAATTTTTTTATCCGTGCAATTTTTTCAGATGTTTTAGATCATTCTGAGCAAAAGGGGCCTTCAGTAACTTTTCTCTGATGTTGACCATTTTATCGAGTTGTAAGAGACCTAATGTCTGCAGACAAAAAATCGTAATTTCGGCCGCCAAGTATTATTTGATTTATTTTGCAGCGATTTTTAACCTTGTCTGACAGATCAAAATTAGCGAAATTTTGATTTTTGCAGTACTTGACATTTTTTAACCATGTATGAGATTAGTAATGATAGTCAAAGAAATAGCTTAACTAACGGAAGATACTATATTCTTGCATCATAACTACCTTAGGATGCCTAGTTATTATGCGCCCATTATGCAGAAAGAAAATAATAATGTAGTGATAGTTGTAGTCAGTCTTTCTTTCGTAAAATGACGATATCTAACCGTATTTTAGGAGTCGGACAACTTCAAAGACCATGGAGAAATTCGAAAAAATCTGTAAACTAGGTGAAGGTAGCTACGGTGTAGTGTACAAGTGCCGGAATAGAGAAACTGGAGAAATAGTAGCTATAAAAAAGTTTTCAGAAAGTGAAGAAGATCCTCTCATCAGGAAGATAGCTCTCAGAGAAATTCGGCTATTGAAGGTAACTAATTATGATCAGATAGAAGATCATCCAAAATTTCAGTTTTACTGGAAGTGTTGATTTCTTTTTTAAATAAGATACTTGAGAGTTATTTCAACGACTTGAAAAAATGATGTTTTATTTACATACGTTTGAGAATCTTCCTTACATCTCTCGACGATGAACAGGGAAATTCTACCAAGCTGGCCTGAATCTGCTTACTTTCCGTCTCACTATTGGTTGAATATCAACCCAATTTCCATCGCGTATATGCGTGACAGAATTCTCAGCAGTGAGCTTCCCGCCGAGCGTCAATTCCAGCTGTGTCTGGTAGTCAACCCACCTACCACGTTCGAGTAGGTGCCATTTTCTTCCAGGCATATCGTAATCTTCGTGATTTAGCATACCCTATCATTGGAATTCCTGGCAGCATCATAACCGAATAACCCCATCGTAGAACACGTTCAAAAGCAACGGCCCAAGGAGGGAGCTCTGCGGCACTCCCATTATTATTACATCATGTTCTGACCATTGACCTTGAAATCAGACTTTTGACCTTGACCCCTCAAAAAACCAGTCATCATTGAAGCTCTTTATCTTCCGCTGAAGGTAATAACGGAGGAGAGACATGGTGAGCATCCTTTGAAAACTTAATGGTTTATTTGATTCCAGAACCTAAAGCACCCGCACCTCGTCAACCTCCTGGAAGTATTTCGCCGCAAGCGGCGTCTCCACTTGGTCTTCGAGTTCTGCGAACGAACCGTTTTGGACGAATTGGAGAAGCGCGTAGCGATGGGTGGCGGGGGGTGTTCTCCGTCGTTCTGCTGTTCCGTGGCTCAACAGTTGACAGCTGCCACCGCCTACTGTCATCGGAGGGGCTGCGTGCACAGGGACATCAAACCTGAGAATATACTGCTGACCGCGGACGGGAGGGTGAAGCTGTGCGATTTTGGATTTGCTAGGATGCTCAGTGAGTGTCAGAAACACGAGAATGCAATTATAGTTTCTTATAGACGAGGCGTTTTTTTTAGTTCAGGCTTGAGACAAATATAAATAACTGCTCAATGAATCTGAAGCCCGACAGCGTATAAAGTCAGAGAACACTGTGTTGCCAAACTGAAAAAATATCTTTTGCACTCAATACTCTATTTTAAAAAAATGTGCACATTATGAGTTACAACATTTATGTTTGCAGATCCTGGTGAGAACTATACAGACTATGTAGCAACGCGATGGTACAGAGCACCAGAACTGTTGGTGGGTGATACACAATATGGTACTCCTGTTGATGTTTGGGCTATTGGTATGTTTTTTCAGCATTTACTTTTTGATAATTCACCTAACCGTTCGCCTCTACCTTCTGCCTAAACATTCTATAGTTAAACCTCGAACATACACCTCTTACATTGACCTTTGACCACGAAATCCTTTTTCACCTTGATCTTAGACTTGACCTTACCCTACCGATGATGTTGATATTTGACGTTGACCTTGTGCTTCTGCATTGGATCTCAACTGTTGACCTTGATCTTAACATCTTGACATTAACCTCTAACACTGAGATTTGACCTTGGCATTCGACTTTGACTTTTGACCTTGGGTGTTCATATTGAGCTTTCATATTGATCTTGACCTCTGGCATTGACATTTAACCTACATGTTTGAACTTGAGCGTTGATTTAGACTGCTGAATTTGACCTTGACTATTGACCTAGACCGTTGACTTTGACCCAGATCGCTGACCTTGATCTTTGTCATGTGACATAACCGTTGATCTTTTATTTTGACCTTGGCATTGACCTTTGACCTTGACATTGACTTTTTGACTTTTGACCTTGGCTTTTGACCTTGACGTTGACCTTGAATATTCTGTTTTTGCCGCCTGCTTTCGATTATTTCGATGTTTGGCCTTTTTTGTAGAATGACGTTAATAAGTACTGTAGAAAAATGATAGAAATAAAGAACAGCGTCCTAAACTGCAGAATTTCTGTCATTTTCAGGCTGCGTTCTCGCTGAGCTTCTTCGAGGCGATGCTTTGTGGCCGGGCAAGTCTGACGTGGACCAACTGTTTCTGATTTGCAGCACCTTGGGAGAATTACTACCTAGGCATGTCCAGGCGTTCAGAGACAATAGTTTCTTCAGAGGAGTAACGCTGCCAAAACCAGCAAGGATCACACCACTAGAGCAAAGGTTGCCTGAGGATTGTCCACCAGCTGCTTTGGATTTCTTGAAGGTTATTCTTAGGATATATTTTTTAACACTATTTATACACGGTATCCCAACCAAAAAAGAAGGTAGTTTTATGAGCGAACTGAAAAATCTGTGTTCGTCGCAACCGTTACTAGTGCATATTTTAAAACTATTTTAATATACAGGGTGTACCATAACTTTAAGCCATGACAAACATATATTTATTGCATATTTTGGACAGAGCTTGTAACAACAAGAAGTCTGATATCATGAACGATGGACGATTGTCAATTATTTAGATTTTTAGTGAAATGTATAATGTAAAATGCCAAACTTTGACGGCTCGCAACTCTGCCCTTTATAAAGATATTTAGATAAATTTTAGTTCACAGCATTTTATAATCATCGATTTTAAGATGATCTAAAAAAAACGCTAAAATATCTTTCTATTCATACAGTGTATCTCAAAACGCAAAATGTACCTTTCTCATAAATTTCAACTGGAACATCCTGTATATTTCTACATCATTAAACACCTTCCTTGGGATTTTTTTATATAATGTGAATACCATTAATACCACTTATTTCGAACAGTTTTCGAGTTATTGTTATTGATTCCAAGAAAGATGTTTATCCCACATTTAGACATAGGATCAGATCTTATAATAAAACAATGAATCTTCTCTCATCTCAAACCAAGACATTCGGACCGATCAATTGGCCAGCGAGATCTCCCGATCTGACGCTTACCGACGTCTTTTTCTGGGATCATGTAAAAGGTGAAATATCTAGCTTTGTGCACTTTGCACCATTTCGAAAAACGACTGAGGACTGAGAGAATTTTTGCTGTGATAATGAAAGCTATTGTTTCGATAGAAGATTTGATTTCATGTTTAAATGCAAGATGTAGGCACCATACGTTTTATTAATTTAAGAATTCAGATTGTTATAGTAATTTTGTACCATTCACTTTTTCTCCTTCAGAAATGCTTAGACAAAGATCCCGCCAAACGTTGGACCTGTGAGGAGCTGCTTTCGCACAAGTACTTTGATGCTATAGAAAAGGATTCTGAAAATGAATCGGGGCGTATCACTGAGAAAGGAATAAAGATCAAGCCAAAGGTATGTCACACATCAAGGTGCTTCGGGTTATATACACTACCGTCAGGGTTTGAAAACAGGTTATGCAAGTTTTTTCTAGTTAAGAGATAGGAGCTTTAACCATTATCCAGGCTGCTGTCGTCGATTGCAAAGTTCATGGCCTTGACGTTTGACCTCCCACTTATGTCCACAGCTCATGATGATGACCAAAAATATCAACATCGGCTCCACAGTTCACCTTGACTTATGACCTTGACCTTTAGCCTTTGACTGTGGCATTTGATCTTGATCTTGGACGTATTGAAGTTATTTGAACATAATTGTATACCCTAGACCTTGGCCTTGAGCTTCGAGGCAACATGTCTGAAATTATTACTTATATTTGACAGGAGGTCACTGGAAATACCAATGGTACAACGTCACTTCCTCAACTATCAGTAACGTCATTAGGGGGAACAACTTCAAAGCCAACTAGTCCTCATAACACAAATGGACAGAAGACAACAGTAGATCATCTGCCAAACATTTGACAACGATTTTCATTCTTTAAATGATTTTTCAGATTGACTTCACTTGTAAATAGGATACTAGGTTAAATTGTTAGTTATATTTTGATCCGGTGGATGTTGTATGTTGATTAGTCTCTATTAAAATATTTTCAAAAACAAATGAGTTTTTTTCAAAACTATTCCAGCTTCGTAATTGTTTGCCATTGAAACGTCTGGTTGCAGTTAGTTTTAATATGTATATAATAAAACTACTGTATATAAGATAAGGTTTATTTGTTATTTAAAATGAAATCAGCATATATTTTATAGCTGTTGTAACTTGTTCAAAATACAAGAAACAGAAGTTTGATAGAGCAGATTCAAAATCAACAGTGAAGTAAAGGAACTAATGTTAGCTTAATATTTATTTTGATCACAATAGATGATTCACATTATTAAACAATGTGATACATATGTATATACTTGGATGGATTATTTACAGTTTTAGTACAGATCCATTTTTACACTGTTGTCCTAACATATCCATCAAAACATAATGATAGGATATATCTAAAAATTAAAAATTACATAGAATTATCATATAAAAAATAAATAATGGTAAATAACATTTGTTCCACTTTAGAGAGATGTGTTAGCTTAAAATTAAAGGAGTGATTGCTCAAGCATGATTTTCTCAAAACCAGAGGGAGGTGAGAAATTGAAGTTGTCCAGGACTATGTCCAGGATAGCACCATCATCAACTGGAAAAAAAAAATATAATGTAAAGCTCAAAAAATAGGAAATGGGTAAATCCCATAAGAAGGAAAGGAAAATCTACTTAATTGTTGGTTGTAAGTGCAAGCGCGCATTTCCGTGCCAAATTTAAGTAGAAAACCTCATACAATTATATGCCTTAAAAGTCTGGTTTTCAATGTTTTGAAAAATTTTGTCTATTTATTATCTTAAAGATCCTTGTACCAGTCTTGTTTAATTTTGGCAGTATTGAAACATGATGCTGAGTAAACATTACCCAGAAAAAAGTTATGAATTCCAGTGGCGTCTCAGGGGACAGTATCATGAATAATGTTGACAAAACCACTGATTTTTCAAAATAAATGTTTTTTCTGGATTAACATCTGTACTGTCTCTGTATCCCTTCTTATATTGCTTCATTTAAAAACAACTTCATTACATGTTAATAAATTATAAAAATAAAATCAAATCAACTTTGATCATTGCTGGAAGTGTTGTAATATTTGTAACATATTTTCATTTAGGAATGTGCACTTGCAATTAAGACAATAATTAAGTCACACCCTGTATAGTATCTCAAATCCTAGCTGAAACTGGAAAAGAATCAGGGTGTTTTAAAAAATTTCTGATATAGTTTAGGTATAATTATATATACATATATATTATAAAAAAAATGCTACAGTGGACCAGCTGTATTGCAACAGTGACTGTAGTAATATTATACAGCAATGAGAACTAGTATTTTGAAGGTTTACTATGTTTATACACTTCAAGTATCAAGTATGTACCAGCTATTGACAATCTTGGTATCAGTGATATTTTAATCAAACATTGTTTCAAGTGGCATTGATTGCATAAATTCAAAATTATGCATAACAGATAATAAATGCAGATTTGGAAACTGTTTAAGACCAAGACAACACCAACACAACAAAACTCAAGAAACTGAAACATTAAACATTATCTGTTTAATGTTTCATGGCTATATTAAGCCAATTTGAGTCTTCATGTTTTTCAGAGAATTTTGAATGAATGTGCAATAAAATTCTTACCATATAATGCAGGATATACAGTTCCCTTAACACTAGTAACTGCATAGTCAACTTCCTTGCCATTGACAAAAAATTTGAGCTGGATATGGTCATATGATACGCCTATGATATCACCTTCTTGCAATTTTTGTATACCTTCTGTATCACCATCATCTTTAGCAACTTTTATTTTGTACAAATCTTCTTTGTTGTGCCTTATTGTGTGGTCATCACAAAGTGCCCATGAATATTCATCCATTCCACCTGGAAGGAAAAGGACTATTATATCCTGTGATTTTCATGTTTATAGGACTACAGTGTTTGATTTGAGTCAAACCACATTCTATGTTTATATTTATTTGATTATTATTTACATTATTTATTGTATCATGTTATAACCACCACCACCACAGTGGCTTTTTTCACACTGTCAGGCCTAGCTACCTGCCAGTTAGTGCCATATGTGATGTAGATAATTATCTGGTAGGCAATTACTTAACAGATCACAGTTATCTGGAGATTTAATTTTATCATAAATAAGTTTATTATGGACAAACTGACAAACCTTGTGTTAAACTTAAATCAGTCTGTCTTGTAGCTAGTCCTACTGACCATGTTCCACCTTGTTGTACTTTGACTTCAAAATAGGATTTTGACTGAACCAGTGGGGCGTTTCCTAAAACAGCACCTGCCCCACAGGTCCTGAAGCCCCCTTTTACAATGACTACTTCATATCCTACAACAAAAGCAGTCTTTGCTGAATACTTCGATAGAACAAGCAACGGTTCAGCTTTAGTACACGATCACCATGTAGTTTCCGAACATTTATGAATAAACATTCCATTTTTGGAGTTCTGAGCAACTTGTAGTATATTTGGCATATAATTCTACTTCTGAAACTAAACTTACCCATGAAAGCGGTGTCTAGATGTATAGGATTTTCCCTGGGACCACTTGGTATGTTGCTCTGATATTTGATTCCATCTAAACAACGTCTTAAACAACAAAATACTGAAACTGTTGACATTTTATCTCTAAAACTTTACATAACCCTAATTCAAAACAAATCAACAAATGCCAAACAAACTCGCTAAACGAACAAACCCATACCAAACAATATATTATATAGCTTCCTGTATATACATTATGTTTGGATCCTTAGGAAGACGAAAGTAAGTCTAAATAATGGAATGCATTAGATTTATTTTAGTAAAAATACAGAATCACAAACAACGTGAAAATGTCCTGAAATATGAACAGAAAGTAAAAAGGAACAATGTATAAATAAAGCACAAATTCGAATCAAATCAGGTGGAACCAACCTGTGATCTTTTTATAATTTGGTTGAGGGAACAAACCTTATAGGGCGACATCTAGGTGATAATGACGTGAGTACCGTTGGCGATTGTTAAACGAGCATCGAAATCTATTCGACGTTACCTCTTAGTTGAATGTTCAGTTGCTAGATGTCAGCACCAAAATCATGTGTGGTGCTATCTAGTGTTCGCTAGTCCGAACTAACATTAACAATTGTCAATTCTGTAACACCTTACTACTCGTTAAGCCCCTCACAAACCGCATATTATTTTTGTCATTCCTGTTGAACTTGTTAAACGGTTTTTCTTATTTTCACATGAAGGAAATTGGGTTGGTTTATATTTCTAGCTAGCATACGTCGACATCATTGATGACATTGTAAAAAACCGATCTTCACTCATCAATACACACGGCGAATAGGAGAAAATCTGGCCTAGGATTAATATCATGTCTGAAAAAGTTCGGGGACAAAGAGAAATTCGGGAATTGGCTTTACGCTGTTTATTCCCAAAACATTGATTTTTCCCCTACTCTAGAGGCAGGGGCAGGAATGGCTCCATAATGTTTTGTAGCGCAAAAAGCAGAAATGCATTGTGTCAAAAGATGTTTTATTGTCTTCAAGATTCAGCCCGTCCTCATTAAGGGAGCATTTTTCTCGCTAATTATTTGTCTCTCGTCTTCTCTATGCAGATATCACTGAAAAATCAAATTGGTCTAATATGCAGGTAGAAGTACCAATCTTAGCCTTCTCCGTCATGTCGCCATTTTGAAGAATCGTCTGAAAATCAGCGAGAGTATAGATTATGAAGGTCAGGTTTATCAGAATTACAATATGGTGATTGACCTGCACGTCCAAGAACGAGAAAAAGTTCACAGTTTGTGCCTGGCCTGATGCGCAGACTCTAAGTTTAGCTTTTCCCCGATAGATGGCAGGATGACACAGGCTCCATCTTGGAGTCATCTTTTAAAGTTAGTATTGAAAGTTACGAATTGGGGTGTAAGGATCTATGCTGAACTTCCGCAGTTATATCTTGGTTAAGTTTCTTTCCGCTAGATGTCAGGATAATGATTGAGCAGACGATTTAGATTTTGGAAATGCATCTTCCTTCATAAGTCTTAACTAAGTAGTAAACTAGTAAATCGGAACAGAGAGGCAATATTTATTTGCAAAGTAAACAAAGTGTACGAAAGCAATAAAATAGTAATTTTCAAATTTTCAGTAACTTTAGGCTTAGTATAGATGTAAACGTTAGTATGGAACTCGTCACTTATTTTGAAAAGATAAGCCTCTTGCACAGGCCAACATAGTTTTTCTTTGCAAATTCTATCATCTTATCTATCCGATTTTTCTGACTGTCTATTCACTTGCTCTTCGTGACTTCTTCGCATAAGTGGAACGTACTATTTACAGAATATATTCTGGTAATGGAAATTCAATACCAATCACTAATCACCTTCGACGCTAATCTCTATATAGCGATACAAAGAACAAACAGAAAGTCGTTCAATCAAGCCTGCCGTGTGCGTAGCAGTTTTATTAGGTTAGGCCGTGTTTACACAAGGTATAACTTTGCCGCTAATGAAATGAACGGTTTATCAACTTAATGGGTTTGCCGACGAACCGGCTTTCTATCACACCATCCCTCAACTCAATTATCATCATACATTAAGTTGTACTTTTTTGAAGCGTTAACTTTTTGAAGATGAACATTTGCCAACACAACATTTATAGAGCACAATTTTCATTTCTACATATCAATTGCGTCTGTGTTTTAGACAGGTTCATAGCTATAGTCAAAATCACAAAAGATGACTGTTCGTCACACCATAAATTGTACTGAACTAATCAATGGACGTAAGTCGATGATAAAATCACGATAAACATAATGACAACAAATTTATATTATGATTTTGCGAAGTTAGGTTATTTCACTGATTTTCATTTTATTTCATGGTTTTGAGTGATACCTTAATAATAATTTTAGTGGGGAGTTTTTATTATGAAAAAAACAGTTATGAGTAGAATACCTTAATTAAGACAGGAACACCAAAGACCAAAGTATTACTCGGAAACAACACAACCTGCTTTAACATAACCTAACTATTCATCTTTAAAATCAACATGAAAACATCTATCCTTGTCAGATGCATGCAAATTAGCAATACCGTTTGATTAGACAATAAAATTCTGTTTGTCTCTGTCTAACATATCAGAAACTTCATTAAATATATTCACAAATCGCTGTCGTATATCTTTGCTACAGACTAAAATGATGACGTAATCGTCATCTTTCGTGATTTCTATATATGCACTTAACCAGCACATTCACTATATTTGGAAATACCGGTAACAATTGCAAAGATGCTGACTCTTTCACCAGATTACGAAATTTTTGATACCGTCAAATTAATAAAAAAGGCATATTTTCACAGTTAGTTTCATTAAAAAACTGCTCTATCAAACAATAATTTTCCTTGAATTATGCACCCCAGTAAAACCGTAAAGGAAGGAAGGGTCAATTTTATCATTTGTTTGGAATCCGTTAATGGTCTCACCACTTGAAGGGACGTTTCCACCCGTCCACTCTGGTAGACGTTACATCAGATAGAAATGCAAGATACGGTAGTGCCGGCAATCCTGTTAATGGTTTATTTAAATCTAACGGAACACACCCTGACTTTATTTGATTAGTTTGCCACTTATCTTCTTATCACTGCTTCATTAGACTAAAAATATTAGCACGGAGATGTTTAGAAATAATCTTACAATACGTATAGAGTTGTAGTTGACGTTAATGAAGACACAGGCAAGCTAAACTGTCAAAAGTCGGTATTGTAATGCTGGTTGCCTATAGTTAGCATAGTAAAAGATATGGATTTCAATGCTTGTTGGCAGCTAGTAGAGATATTTTATAATATTCAACTGTCCGTATTATTTTATTTTTGCTCTTAGAAAGCAATTTTATTTTAATGAAATTGCGAGTATGACATTTACGCTTTCAAGAACCATTTTGTTTTGCAAGGTAGTCGTAAGAACGCTCTTCAAGCAAAAATACAGAGCAGTTTTACGTCAGATTTTAATGATGTTCTATAAAGAGTGGACCATCTGTTATTTTTTAAGTTGGTATTATTTTGACAGTTGGTAACACTTCCATGCCCAACATATTGACAGATATATTGTGTCAAACTTTCGCTGTGAGCGATGGATCGTTTTGATCTTGAACAAAGGTGGTAAATATTGAAAAACTATTTTCAACGTGAGTGCTGTGTTGCAGCGAAAATTGGGAAGACTATTTCTAGACTAAATTCGTGAAGAAGGTTCGTGCAACTGGCCTGCTTGTGACATGAAGGTGTATTTTTTTAAATAAAGTATCGAGTGTTATATATTATTGAAGAGTGTACTTTTAATACCAATTTAAAAAAGAAACCAAAGGATGGCCCTATATACTAACTTGGAGTTAACGTTGACCAAAAATCCAGTTTTTACCGTTATATTTATGTTCTAATCCCCAGAATAGGCAAAAACTGCGTCAAACCTCATTAGACAAAGGCGAACAAGACACAAACAGGGGACAAAGAATTAATCGAGACTGAGTAGGGCTGTGTTGTGCCAACAGGTTAATGTCGCGTAAAGTAACATTCCACTTATGCGAGTGTATCTCGTGCAGTCCTGCGTGTGTACTCATTTATCCTTAATCCATATGTAGCCGTTCCCATTCCATTCCGTACCAGGATACGCTTCGCTACTCACCCTTCCTGTATCCTCCCTATTGCTGCTCGTTTTTGTCCCGCCGTGTGATTACTGCGAAAATTAGCCAGCCACTCCTTTATGGCTTTATCTTGCTTTTGTCCTGAAGAGACTCTAATATAGACGCTCTTTTTTTACTATACTGCCCACCGGATCAAGTTGATACTCTTACGAACAATCGTTCAAGAAACTGTTCACTTTCACATAGGTTGTTATATTACTGATAAAGTTTTCCTTGTCCTAACAACTTTTATATCCCTTTTTTTTTTTTATATCGAAACAGCCGCGCAGGCAGAAGCCTAAATGCCGGAACACCGCGGCTGCTATGATGATCCCAAAGAAATTTTGTTAATACGATTTTTGAACTGCCTAAGGTTAGTGGAACTGGGAAAAGCTTCCTCCCGTAGATTGTTCCACAATCTAGACACCCTCGGGACAAAGGAGCGGTCGTATCGGCCAGTTCTGGATGTACGAAGTTTGACACGGTTAGGATGGGACGCCGAAGTCAGGCGGGTCTGTCTGGCAGGCACATCGCGCTGCGGCATCATGGAAGAGAGCTCTGAGGAGCAAAGCCCGTTGGTGTAGCGATAGAAAAGAGCTAGATCGCCGACGGTCCGCCGGTGCGAAAGAGTCCCGATACTGTCTGTTAGAGAAGAGTCATCGATCAGTCGGACCGCCCTCCTCTGGACAGCATCGAGCATGGACAATGTAGTCGGGGTGGCAGCACCCCAAATGTGTGAGCAATACTCGAGGCTAGGCCTTATCTGGGCCTTGTATAGAGTGAGAAGGTCATGCGGAGAAAAGTACTTCTTAGCCCTAAACAAATAGCCTAGCTTTTTCCCAGCAGCTGCAGCTATTGAAGAGATGTGTTCGTGCCAGATCAGGTCCTCGGTGATCTGGACTCCGACCAGCCGAAATGAATGGCTCTTTGGTAGAACTCGACCGTCCATCGAAACTGTATGAGCACTAGGACGCTTTTTGTTCGTCAAAGTACAGTACTGTATTTTGGGAGTATTGAACTGTACAAGATTGTTGCGTCCCCAAGCAGTGATAGCCTCCAGGTCTCTTGTCAGAGAAGAAGTCGTCGCTAGTCTTCTTTTTTCCAGCTCAGCGGCAGAGATCGGCT